TCTAGTGCACTGGTGAGTGCAAATTTTTGGGCTTTTGTGTTCAATCCCCTTCAACCTTCCAGGTTACGACTGGCAAATATACCAATCTAACCCCTCAGGTTTCAGAAAATTGAACAGGGGCAGCTGTTGCACCCCAAAATTTGCCCTCACAATACAAGACTTTGTGTTCTAAGAAGGTTCACAAGGTTCACAAGTTCTCCAACAACTTGCATAACCTTTCATGAAGTTCATAAAGTCCACAAGCTACTTTATGAAGGTTCACAAGGTTCACGAGTCCCACAGTGCTTTCAATACCTTTCATGAGGTTCATGAAGTCCATAGGTTGCTTCACAAGGTTCACAAAGTTCACAATTGGTCAGAAGAGTTGACAATTCCCTCAGACAATGCACCTCCTAAGCAGTGCATCCAAAACTAGGGTTTTGACTTTAATCAGGCTAAATGGACTTCCAAGACTTCAAGTGAGCTTCATAACATCTTATATGTGTATAAGAACCCCCATGTCAAATTTCAAGACTTTTCTCAAAAGTTTGCTCAGTCAGATGATCAGATAAGTCAAAAGCAGTCAATGCAGTTAAAAGGTCAAACTGAGGTCAACTGTGGTCAAACCAAAGTCAAACTTCATGATTTTTTTTTGCCAACATCAAAGAGAGGTTGGGTGAGAAATATTATCATAATAACTGTAATACCCCAAATTTTGCCCTAAGATTTGTCGTCGCATTTCATTGCATTTAATCAATTACTAACAAATTTGTGTAGTCGTTTGACTTTTTGCAGGTAAATATCATATGGCATGCATTTTTTTTCTAAAAAGTAAAAATGGCACAATTGGCAGGAGGACATGTGTAAGGAGTTATGAGTGTGAGAGGTTGAGAGTTCGAATCTCACCTTTGTCACTTTTTTTTGTTTTTTATTATTTTTACTCTAAATTTTTCTATCTTTCATTAAAAAAAATAACAAAAATAGTTTTTTATTATTATTTAATTATTATTTTCGTATTTTAATTAAATCATTTTTTAAAATATTATTTTTTTCACTTTTTTCTAAATTATTCATAAAAATATCCAAAAAATCATAAAATAAAAAATATTGAAAAAAATTTTGTTCTTTTTATAATATTTTTTATTTTAGGAATCAATAGGATTATTAGTTTTTATTTTAAGTTTATTTTAATTATTTTAAATTATTTAAATTTTATTTTTTCTTAACTAATTATTTAGTTTGGGCTTTAAAATGGGCTTTAGGGACATTATTGACAATTTGGTGTTAACCCTAATTTGTTCCCTATATATACATGTGTTGCCTTGTTGGAAAAGGGAGGAGAATGAAAAAAACCTAAGAGGAGTGAGTGCCGTTTGCCGTTATTTAGTTTTCTTCTTCATCCATTACTATTGTTTCTTTTTCTTCATCGTTTACCGTTATTTCTTTTCCTTCATCTATTACTGTTGTTTCTTTTTCTTCATCTTTTACCGTTATTTCTTTTTCTTCATCTATTACCGTTATTTCTTTTTCTTTATCTATTACTGTTACGTTTATATATATATAATTTTTAAATTGTTAGAGTTTATATATATAAGATTTTTGATCGAATTATGTCGATACGATGTTTGCACATTTGTGTGCATGACGCGTGACATTTGTGTTAGTTCGATCTGGTTGCGATGATCGCATTTTTGTGTGAGCAATAATACTATTTTTTGCTTAATTTCTTTTTCTTTGCGATAAATTTTGTTTCGTCCGATTTAGATCTGGTTGCGATGAGCGCATTTCTGCGTTAGCAACATTGTTGGGTTATTTGGCACATTTAAAATTCATTATTGCTTTATTATTATTATTATTATTATTATTATTATTATTATTAATATTATTATTATTATTATTATCATTATTTATTATTATTATCATTATTATCATTATTATTACCATTATTACTATTATTGTTATCATTAATTTATTAAAATTTGTTATAATATAAAAATCTGTTTTTTAAAATAAATAACATTAACATCTTTTCCAAATTAATATGAAAACCTATTATTTTTAAGAAAAACTTTTTTTTAGATAAATTTAAAATAATAACTAAAATCTTTTTTTTAAAATAATAACTAGAACCGTTATTTATTTTATTTTATTATTGTTCAATTCAAATTTCATTATCATATTGTATCTGCTCCTCTCATGTAACCTCGCAAACTTAACAATCGCTCTTTAAATTCTGCCTTTAAATTTCTGCTTGCATGGTTTAAATTATGACATTATCTCTCTGTTTGCATGATTCAATTATCTCACGCGTTTACTATTATTTCTGTCACATTGCACACATCCGAAGGTTAGGTCTAACTGTTTGGCCGCCGCGCCAATAGTCCGTAAAACTTCACACATTCAATTTCAAATCCTCAAAACTACAAACTACAAACCCTAATTTTCACAAATGCCTCGCCGCAGGCAAAATTACAATTTTACCCTTAGCATTAGGTCAAAGAGCCGCCGCGCTCATTTTAGGGTTTCCCGCCGTGGAATCCCTAATTTAACCCTAATTACAACTTAACATTTCAACGTAGAGATTTGGAGTTTCTACACTCCACGTAAGCGTGTCCTTAAGATGCGTTTATTCCCCTTGAGACCTTGACCACAGTCAAGAAGTTTCTAACTTCCCTATTAAGGGGAACTACGATTACTCTGATTCCGCTCCCGTAAGGATACGTAGGCACAAGATGTGATGTCTTGCCGAGTAAACTTAGAATTAACCCCCTTTATTATTTATTATTGCTTATTTATATTTTATTTATCTTTGCTATTTAATTATTTTGCTTATTATTTTGTAATTGTTTCTTGGATGTAAAGTTGTTTAATTATTTAATTATTATTATGGTTAGTAATTAGGGAGTGTAACAACATGTATGTAATATTAAAATAAATTTAGATCACTTTTAAATAAAGATAATTAAAATAAACACGTCACACACGTAAGTCGATTTTAATCGCCGTCTTACTTCCTAAGGATATCCCTCAAGTTGCCTACGAATAATGGTTAAGTGGGGTGTATAAAGCAAGTCCCTCAAATGGAAAAATCATCAAAGTCCCTTATGGTTGCCTTTACGAATCGAGTCCCTTTCGAAAAATGATGATGGTCCCTTATATGTGCTTATTACATCCCACAATGGCCTTCAAAGTCAAATTGTCCCTCACATGTCCCTTAACATCCAAAGTAAGGACTACCTACTCCATTATAGTAGGGATAGTCTTACTAAAGGAAAGAATGAAGAATAAGAAAGACCTTTAAACATTAGGGTAGGTTACTCCTAGGTGCTTGCTCACTTCAAAATTGTTTCGCACTTAAACAAATTTTCAACAAGTTTTCAAACAAGTTCTTAACACATCCTTACATGGATTATTTATTAACTATTCTGAAAATTTTCTATTCACACACTACAATTTCAAAACAATTCAAAAGTGAGCTTAAGTACCTAAGAGCCCATGGATAACCATGGATGAAAAGGATGCTAATACCTTCCCTTTTCATAACCTACCCCCCGGACCCAAAATATTCTCTAAGGTCTTTCCTGTTCTTTTATAACCTTTCCTTATGGATAAAATAAAAGTCGGTGGCGACTCTTGCTATCCGCAACATTGTTTAAAGTCAGTTCACCGGGTTACACATACACCGGTAACTTGTCACATCCCTGAAGAACACAATTACTGCATATCGATTCAATCAATTATAATCTAAGTAACCGTCTTAGTTTCCCTTTTAGTGACAATCTTATTCCCTTAAACATATTCTACCTAGCTAAACATAGTAACTCCCGAGAACACTAGTTTGATTACGAGTCCCTGTGGGATCGATATCTATTATTACTACGCGATAGACTGTGCACTTGCAGTTAGGTTATATTAGACATAGAAAGTCGCGATCAACCTTCCTTATCATCCTTCATCTTCTAGTTAGTCTTGGTATCCCATTTAGCTTTCCTGCCTTCTTTCATGTTAGAAATTCTAACCCAATCACCATCTTCATAAGACTTTTTAAAATCCACCATGAGACCCTTGAAGAAGCTAGAGATAAGGGAAACCTTCTCTCTCTAAACTATGAAGGAAGCTCGATCACTCATTTATTAAATGCGCCCTATATTGAATACATCACCGATCTTCTAGAGGAGTCTCCCATAGGTAGGAAAGTGAATGAATGACGTGACCACATTTCGTATCAGTACGTAAGGATGCATGTGACCACGTTTTTTTGTAATAATAGTGGACTAACAGTCCACTCTCGCTCGTGATAGTTTTTATTTTCAAGGGGCTTAAGATCCAACCCAACATCGCTATAAATACTTCATCATTAAAGTTTCTCACTTCCTACATGAAATAGCTCTCAGTCCCTCAACATACTTTAAAATTTCTAACAACGGTTAATCATTAGGAATTGTCAAATATTATACTTTTAATACCTGCACAAAAAAAATTATTTGATAAGAATTTCCCTACAATATTATACTTTTAATGAGTCACTTTTACACTCTAAAAATTATTTGATAAGAATCTCCCTACAATATTTTAACAGCTCTTATATTACAAAACCCTTCATAAGAAACATGAAAATGGTTTGAAGATAATAGAGATCAAGTAGAAAACAAATATTGTTTCCTTATATAAAACCATTCATGTGTATAGGGAACAATTACACCTTACATGTTTCATCACATATTATTAATTAATTTAACAAACGCACAAATGCAAAGCAATCATTGTACCTCAAAGACAGCCTATCTTCAAAAGTAACACAAATGTTCTCCTTTCCTTAAATTAATATGCCTACCCATTTAGACAGCTTAGAACACTTTTAGACTAAAATCAACTTTCAATCAAACCCACATGGTGATTATGAGAAATGAGTTGTATAAAGAGCACAAATCCAGCTTGTAAAACTAATCATGAAACCATAATATATATCCAAAAAAAACTTATAATAACATATGAATATTAATATTTTTGAATATTAATAATTAAGGTCCTAAGGGTGCCCTATGAGGTATTCCCTTTCTTCTCCTTGAATTTGAATAAGCTTGTTGAGATGAATAAGGAGAAGACGTGCTTTTGTATACTTGTTGTTTGTGGATTCCTTCACGCATTATTAATATTTCTTCCTCTTCTTCCTTTGATAGCAACTTTCTTTCCTGCATTTTCCCTATTTCTTCCTCTTTCTTTGTGCTTAAGACAAAGCTTGCATTCCCATTTTTCTTTATTCCTACAAGCTATTATTATTTTTACTCACATTGTTACAACAACAACAACGACAATGATAATTAAACAAAACTATAACAGCCAGGAAACATAGTTGCTTGCTTCACAAGGTAACTCCATGACTTAGTATTTTCATGCAAAATGGCACCTTCAATAAGTGCTTATGAGCCAAAAAAAATTACATGTTAAATATTTCTTTTTATATTGTCAAAAATGGTTATTAATTAACTGATATGATATCTGCCCCTATTAATTTGTTTAACAAAAATAGAATATAACAATAATAAAAAGGAGAGTTAATTAAATAATTAAAGAGAAAATAGTTACCTTGCAACCCAAAGAACAGAAACGAAAAGGGTCCAATAGATATCTTGTGCAAATTTCACACAAATGTGAATTGGTTTTACTTGCACTAATAACAGCATTAGTAGTCTTAATCTGATTTTGTGGCCTCTCATTAAGAAAAATCACTCTAGCACTGTTAATCACATAAGTTTGAACTCCAGTAATATCCAATACCTTCTGAATCTCCGCCACCCTCACAACATCGTGATAAGACGATTTTCGTATCTGCATTGCACTTACGTCGCAACATTAATAACATTGTAATTTCTCTGATTAAAAGTTACAGTTTAATAAAATGAAATACTCACTTGAATTACTTGATGATCGTTATGCCATGATTGTTTGCAATAAAAACAGAATGATTCTGTACAACGCAGACAATACATGTTACATTCGTTTCGCGGTGCGTTGATATGAGATTGGCAGGGAGAGAAGAATTTTGTTGATAATAAACGTTCAAGCCATGGCGGTGTTACCGGCATTAATTCCTATAAATTATGAGAAAATAAAACATTAAGTTACATGTATATATAATGGAGAGAAATTGAAGAATATATAGAGGTTAACCATGGATGAGTATGATGATGGAAGAAGTTGAGGACCAGAGAGGAAGCAAATGAGAGAGAGTGAATGAAGTAAGGAAGAAAGGAAGTATTATTGTTATATAGTATGAAAAAAGAGAGGGGAAAATAAGGGTTGTAATGAAAGGATGGTAGGTGAAGAAGGTTTTGGATCGTTGGATTGGACTTTGTATGGGTTACGCTACAGCTACCTTGTTGTTTCTTCGGCAATATTTTTTGCATCTTTTCGGCGTGGATCGTCGTCTTATTTCAATTTACAACGAACAATCATTTTTACAACAATGAAAAAAAAATAAATTAAATCCCTCTTTAATTAATAAGTCTTTTATAAAAATAAAAAAAATATAATTAACTCAATTTAACTCTTAAATTATAGTGGTAACATATATATAAAACTTTACAAAATGGAAGAAAAAAGTTGGTAGAATATGTTTTATTAAAAGATATTTATATATATTTAAATTTTTTATTTAAACAATCATTTGATGTATTTAAGTTTGCGTGTTTTTGTTTTTCTTTTCTGTATTTTTTCTGTGTGAATAAAGTTCTTACACGTTCAATTTCATTTAATTTTAATCTCTATAAAATACGATGATTGGGTTGTACATCCCCGAAAATTATTTTGACCAGGCAAGGTACGAACTTGGTAATGTCGAGCATAGCCAAAACGAATAACCAGAACCCTACTTACAGGTCGGATCTTGGTTAAGAATAATCTGATTAAACGGTGATGACACAACCTCACATTATCCGAGAACTGACTCAGCCATACAAAGCGGGTAACTATAAATCTCGGATGTCACACCAAAGGACACAAGGGACGGTTACAAAAACACACATTATAATTGGAGAGTTACAATCATTGAAGAGGCCGACGTTATGTGAGCAATTATGGAGACAGCGGACGTTACAGGAAGGTTACTAGTAAAGGGAGACCTATAAATAGGAATTGCTAGAGAAATAGAAGGACAACCAATACTCAGTGATCATACACAAAACTGACACCTAAAACCATTCATCTAAGACTATTCTCGAGCAATAATGTGTAAGTCAAACTTTTTAGTGTTTTAGCAAGAATATTTGACGTCCATTATTGTAGTTAAGTGGGAGTTTTGTTATCGCCTCCACAGGGATTGTCCGATATTTTGATGTTTTCCTTTCAACAGTTTACAGTTCTAAGAAAATGTTTCAAATTTTGGATCATAAATTATCACGTTTTTAGTAGCAAAACTTATAAATTCTAAAGAGTTTGATTAACAAAGTATATCAAAAGTAGTTTTCATCTACCATAACTTATATGTATTCTTTCCATCTTGCATGTGAAGTCGGATCTGATTAATATCGTCGTGTATTCTCTCAACACCGTCTATCTCTAGAGCGGCATCGTGAGAAATACCGTATTCATCGCTAAACGATCTCTCCATATAACAACCAATATAGTAAGATTTAAATTCAACACAAAGCAACTATCAACCATAGACCGATCTCTCTAATCTATAAATAGATAGATGAATATTTTAGGTCAAGTTTCATAAAATCTATGTCTAGAGTTTTACAAAACAAGAATGGATCATTAAGAACAAAAATATCCATCATATATTAATCATCACTTGTTTACATACAAGACCAATCAAAAGAAATACATAAAGCTAATGGTAGACTACATATACCTTTGATACAAAGGAAATTAGCTATCCATAACTATGGTAGCTTGCTTTACAAGTAAAGTAAGAAGATGAATGAGTATTCACGTCAAAGAATCGAACTCGGATGCGAGTTCAACTTCTATTTTTAAAATATCACCTTTTGGTGAAGAAATGATGAGAAATTAAGTTTTTATGTGAAAAATGGGGTTATGATCCCCAAAAAGTGTGAAAAGTACTTATATAGTACTTTTAGAATCTGTCAAGTTCGCTCAGCGAACTCCTTTTTCGCCTAGCGAACTCCACTTTATGGCACCTGAAGTGCCTCAGAACAGTTAACCGCCCCTGAGGAATTATCAAGGTCGTCGTGTGAGTAATTCTTTGCCCTGCGAACTACGTCGCTACAAGTTCGCACATCGAACTTATGGTTCTTTAGCTACTGCCTCAAATCTGGGATGGTTCGCTGGTCCTTCGCTGCAACCTTGCCCAACGAACTTAGCGCCCTTTTTCTACTGCCATCATTCAGAGATGGTTCCCTTTTGCTTCTCCATGAGCTTTCCCAACAAACATTTGCTGCTACTCCTCGTTGGTTGTCCGCCCAACGAACATGTTGAATGTCTTCTTTCCCTTTGGCTTCTTGTCCAATTACTTGTGTCTTATTCTTTGATGTTTTTATGCCCAATTTATGCACAATAACTCACAAATCAAAGCAACCAAAGGTATTTTCAACAATATTGAAGAATAGCATGAAAGCATGGAGTGAATCCAATAAAATGTAACAAATGAGATGAAAAATGCAAATAAATATGGATCAATTTAAAGCATATTTGGCATTCAATAAACTCTCCCCAACTAGACCTTTTCTTATCCTCAAGTAAAATATGTCTCTGATTGAAAACAAGAGGATTTGCTCAAGCATTTAATTCAACCAAGAATGGATTTATGGCTCAAATTAAACAACAAATGAGCACAAACAATATTCACCACTAATTAGAATCGAACAATACAAAAGAATTTAGTTCTTAAACAAATATCATGCAATGCTTGAATTAGTAACTAAATTCTCATGCTCGAATCACTCTAACACTCCTCTTCAAATAAGAATGAATAAATTAACGTGTTTGCAACCACGGGAAAATTTCACTCATCTGACCAAAGATGCAAAAGATAACTCAATTCATACATTCATCTAATCAATCAAAATGAAATCATGGAAGCAAGAAGGTCGCTAAGGTCTTTAAAGGTTATAGCTTGGTTAGGTTCACAACAAAGGGACATATCTAAGGCCATGGAATCAAAGTTGTCAATGCAAAAGAAACATTCACTATACAAGGTTATGTACACATTACAACTTCATCCAACACTTTCTTTTCTCAATTGATCACCCTTCCAGACTTCCTTTATGCACATTATTCTGTATTTCTTTTCTTTCAAACAAGCATGTTTTATTTTTATTTTTCTTTTTCACACTCATATTTACAATTTTCTTTTTCAATGCTTGTTTGAAAATTTTCAAATTTTTGAGTAACCTACCACTTTTCTTTTTACTCTTCCCGACTTGGTTTCAATCAAACCTCAAGTGAATGTCCATTGCTTTCTATGGCATAGAAGACAATTTAAACAAATTTCAAAGGTTCAAGAAATTTTTTTAGAATCCCACAAAATTCAATGATGAATTATCTTTCAAATTATGTACAAATATCAAGTTCATCACTGTCGCATCGCTGCGAAAAGAGGGGCCGACAAGGACAGAAGAGTCGCCACCGTTCGTTATTTATCCCAAAGTGAGAGAAAGGAAACGATCAAAGAAAACCTACGGGAAAGGGAGAAGACAGGTCATCGCAACCATATCTCGGGTTCGGGAGTCGGTTACGCAAGTGGAAGGTATAAGCACTCCTCACGTCTGTTGTACTCAACGGGATCCACGCTTGTTGTCTATTTGAAGAGGGGGTTAATCTATCTAAGTTATAGGCTCACATGGACAAAAGAAAAGAAAAGAGACTCGATAGAGCATCGCCGCTCTATGCCTACGTATTCCCTCGTGCAATGGGAAAGTCAGAGTCAACGTAGTTCAGAAAACTACGGGTAAAGGGGGGGAAGGTTGCTAGACAAGACATCGCCGTCTTGTGCCTACGTATCCTCATATGGTATGAGAAATCAGAGCAAACGTAGTTTGGGATGACACGACCACATATTGGTTCAAGTGTTTTAACTGAGTAGAGTTAAACCTTTGTTCTAGCAGTTAGGTGTATTGCTGCTCGACCATTGGAGACTTAGGCGTTACCTGTTTGCGGTAGAACCAAGAGTTAACACACTCTTTCTAAAAATGGTTTTCAATTAATCCCGAAGGATAAAAAGGTTTGATGTTTTTGTTTTTGTGTTTTTTAAACAAGTGAATTGAGTTAGGTTTGTAACTCATGTTGCACTAAAGACTATGACTTGAGAGCGAATGCATCGCATATCGCCCAAAGGGCATACGCAACACACTCTAGACAGTTGAGAAGAGACCCATCAACCATCATTTCTCAAGTACTTAAGGCTCGTAGCGTACAACACATGTTATCCTTTATTAGGTGCTTTGAAGGGTTTAGGAGATGAGGAGAGAAAGACACAGACTAAGGGGAAAATGTACCCTAATGTTATCATACACAATGCTCCTAAAGTTGGGATAAAAGGGAAGAAACTGTCTTAATGTTATCATGCATAGGATTGAACACCTAATGTCTCTCCTACTCCCATCTTAAACAGAGGGACTAGGAATCCTAGGGGGATCATGGCAGAAGACCAAGTAAACACAAGATAATTCACTCACAGATGAAATAGAAAATGAAAAGCAATTGACTTAAACAAGTCAAAGAACAATGCAAACATGAGATGCAAGGATGCAAAGAAGAAATGCAAATACAAATTATGCAATAAAGATGAAGCAAAGAGCTTAAACAAAAGGACTTAAACAAGTCCAAAAAGATGAGATGAAATGGGAGAAGTAAACTCCTACAACCATATACCATCAATCATCAAGAAGAATGATACTATCCTAAGGTGCATACACAAAGAAAAGAGGGAGGAAGAAGTGTGGGGCAGCCACCACCACAAGCACATCTCAATCATACCATTCCTTGAAACAAGTAAAACAAGACAAACAAACAGTGCAAAACCAACATCAGTGTTCATGACAAACTCAAAATGCAAGCATAAGCATCAAATTATCATGAACAAGTGTCTAAACCCCATGGGGAAGAAGTGAATCATAATGGA